CTTAGGAATTAAATTATTATAACTAATGAGAAGTCATTCATAGAAGTTTTTTCAGTGGATACGATTTGCAAATAAAAAATTGCATTAAGACGCCTCTCTCAATACTGAAGATGGACACTGCAACCTTACAGTTAGTTTCGCATTGGATCATCGCTGGGAAGGGGCCATAATTGTATCTCAGATACTACAGAAATATCCTGAAGATTTAGTTGCTATAGTAATTTTATAAAGTGCAATTATTGAATATATCAAACTAAAGAAAAGAAGCTACATAAGAGTAAACGCTTATGTTTATGACCTTTAAGTTGATTCTTTAAGTTCAAAAAATTCCCCCTCTACAGCCGAATCAAGACGCTGCCAAAAGCCCGACCCTTGTTCAAGATACTTTGCAAGACTGGCACGCAACAGCTAATATCTTCAGCAATAGCAACAGCAATAGCTCACTTTACACGATTAGCCTATACCAATATATACAAAATTACAAGAATTCATACAAACTAAAATATTTCCAATTTAGTTTTCTTGAAACTGAGCGTTCATATTCTCAATCCATCTTCGAGGGAGACTAGTGATACCTCCGGTGGGTTCATTTGTTTCTTCCGAGGCGGGACATATAATACACGGAATAATATCACACTGAGCAACGCCAATAAAAAATAAGAACCCAAGAGCGAAATTTAACTAAAACTTTATTAGTAGAGTACACATTTAATATAGATAGAGTATGAAAAGTTACTACTAACCTTCATTTTTCTGGACTTAGTTTAGATGTTTGTGCAAAATCTCTAATAGTCGATAGCGTATAGAGAAGGAAGAGTGGTGTTTTTCAAATCAATTTGTCTTAAAGATGGGCTATTTATCATTTTAACAGATTCGTGAACCTTTTCAGGCATTGCTTGGTAATGTAACCTCTTATACAACCGAGAGCCATTCATACCTGCCTTGTTGGTTTTTATTTTATGTGGATTGGCTATTTGTCCAAACTTATCCCAGGGGTGTAGTATAACTGGCGGAACTACAAACTTACCTATACAAGGAATCCTGATTTGGTAATTGTCATAAGCGCTAAAGCTAACCGATAGCGGCGGAACTGCAAACTTACCTATACGCGGATACCTGATTTGGTAATTATCATAAGCGCTAAAGTAAACCGATAGCGGCGGAATCGCAAACTTACCTATACGCGGAAATCTAATTTGGTGATTATAATAAGCGCTAAAGCTAGCTGATAGCCTTGTGATATAGTAACTACAGTATTGATCGTCTTATGTTTATGTCAACCGGCTTAGCACTTCTATACATAGTAACTACGGTAAGAAATACAACATAAACTTGCTATTAAAATACTTTATTGTTGCTATGTGCAGTGATTGCCCTGCACTTAACCGGAATCATTTGTAGGAAGTCGTGTTCGTAGCTGCAAGCTTGACACATTTTTATTACTAGTATTACTATACTACTAGATTGAGACCCAAGGTCGCCAGGTTTTGAAATTTCAATAAACTCTGCTTCCTGTCTGCACTTTCCAAAGACGAAGTAGGGTCAATATGCTCGAAAAATTACACTGGGACATTATTCCGTCGCTAAAACCGCATATCACTACTGGACTTGCTATTCTGATTTCTTATTCCACGCTATCCGGTTTGCTACCCTCTCGACATCGTTATACCGCCTTTACATTTACCGCCATCCTCAGTATCATAGCTTTTTACTATTCTGCGAAATTCTCTATTGATCCTTCGACAAACAGCATATTTGCTAGATTCCTTTACATATGGTTGGCGCATATGTCCTTCATTACCTTTCTGGCTCCAAAAGAACAGCGGAAATTAGTTGCAAGTTCGTATTACAAAAAGGGAGATGCTATAATCGAGCCTAGTGATCGACTCATACTTCAAAACCGTGAGGGTCATGTCAAAGTCCCAGGTTCACAATATGCTACTCGGACTATATTTAATGCTAGGATGATTGACACGCTCTGGGAGTCTCAGTCAATTAAAATTTCACGACGGAGATATCTTCGAACGCATACTGGAAAACAATGCTCGCAGTTGAATAGTCAGACACGGAAAACCCCAGAACTCCAATCTCAGAGGTCCCACTCCAGGCCATCAAGATCATCACCATTAAAGCGTCAGTTTTTGGTATTCATTTTCCGATTTACACTGCTATGTGTCTTCTTCGATCGAAATATATACTGGAAGCTTCCTGGAGGACCAGTGACCATAGAAGATTTTTCAGTTGAGCGAAAAATATTCTTTCGGCGCATTTTATGTCTTTTTTCATCACATTACAGCTTTTGTGGTGCCTCTACGCTTACCCGTGATATTTGTATTCGCCTGCACCTCTTCATTAGAGTTTGGGTCCTAGATTACTTGACGCTCTCAGCCTTACACGACGCTCTTACTATTATAGCCATAACTCTAGACATCGACGATATATCATCCTGGCCACCACTCTTTGGTTCAATCACTGAGGCATTCACTGTTCGAAACTACTGGAAGAAGTTCTGGCACTTATTGGTCTATCGGTCGTTTAATTCACACATTAATTATTTAACGTCCAAAGTTATTGGGCTTCGAAGAGCGCAGATAAAAAGATATTTAAACAATTTCCTCGTTTTTGCAGCATCAGGAGTGATGCATACTGCTGTCTTATGGGTGCAAACCCCCAGTAATGTAAAAAAAGCACATAATGTAAGCACAAGGTTATGGGCTCCGACATGGTGGTATTGTATGCAGTTTGGAGCTATTGTCGGAGAGGAGGCATTTCAAACAATGTGGAGATTTTTCGAAGTGAGGATGTTAAGAGGAAAGCAACATAACTGGGTTATGGCGACTGGGAAAAGAGCTGCTGGGTATTTGTGGGTAGGCTGTTGGCTGGTGTGGTCCCAAACGGTCTTGATGCCAGGCGCAGAGGGGGTGGGAGAAAGTCCGTGATTAAATGCAGTTGTATTACAAAATGAGGTGGTTAAACTTTTGACAAACTTACCTGAACAGTAGATAAAGTTTTGTGAAATGAGCATACTCTTTAATATCATTTATGTATGATTGATCCTAAATTAGACACTAACTTATGGCAATCCACGAAAAGTAGAATTATCTTCTAGCCTCTCTCTGATATTCAATATTCTATAGTTACTCCTGACTTAAAGGTCATGGTACATTCCAAGGTAACTGGAACTCAATTTCTACCACCTTCCTCTTCAACTTTATAATACCATTAGTGTCAGTTAAGTATTTGTCCCTCCAACTATTCTCCAATAAGTTAGGGAAAATCTCGTTCAATGTAAAGTTCATATACCACAGGTATTATGCTATTAGAAGGGGTCTATAGACACTATGATCTACTTTTCTAAATATAGATCTGTGTCGACTGAACAGACCTCTTGGTACAGTTGGATCAGAATGCATCGGATTTAACGTCATTATTTACAAGATTCCTGTTAAATTCCCTGGTCTCAAAGTCTTCGTGCTTATTCTCTATCTTTATATAGAAATGTTTAGAGCGCTACTTGATGGAAATTTTATTATTTCTAAAATGTACCTGAATGCTCGGAGGATAGCTTTTGGCGCTTGAATGCTCTTGTTACGAATTCTTTTTACAGCACTTTATAAATTGTTACTAGTAAGTTTTGATTGCGGGGTAACAGCTCCATTCTCGCTCAGCCACCGTAGCACAGTCGTGGTCGACGCCTTGTACTGGGGTAGATCTCGAAAAACGAGCTTGGTAACTTTGCTACTTGTTTTGGTAAGCCATCGCGGGGTGGTAGGTGTGCCGCTCGTTTTGCTACATAATGTCCTTCGGCCCACATGCTCTTGCGTATTTATGCAACAACAGCATCAAAATTAGTCACAGCATATGAATACATTGTTTTGGATTGGGCCAATTTTTATTTAATTACTTCGTATAATTAATCTTATAATTTATTATATAAAAATACTATTCAAGTTGAGCACGAAGCATTTATTTAAAAAAAAAGCCGTTTACTTATATAAAAATTTGGTAAGCTGAATTATTGTTTTCGGCATAATTTATAAATCGTGAACTACAGCATAATTTATTCCCGTATAACACTTCGCTATGTTGACAAGCTAGGTCGTGCGTTTCTACCACAACCACAAGACAGAGGCAACATTGTGAATGAACCCTACACGACTCGCAGAAGTAAAGGATGAGGGCCAATTGGATGGGGAGGGGCTCGGTTTTGGGGATGTCTCAGAAAGAGGCGGGACAGAAAAAAAAGTTGGTGGTATTGGGGTTGACTATCGGACGGATATAAACAGAGTGGCAGAGTCCTCAAGATAAGGAGATTGCACGGAAGTGAATCAGACAGAGAAAGGCTGCTGATATCTGCTTTTGCAGAGAGTGCTACAAGCGCTAAACACTGAAGCTGCCGAGAAAACCACGAATGCTCTTTAAACTTCCTTTTCCAAGGTTGAGCTTTTATTATTAAACGGGTTAGCTGACAAATGGTTAGACCGATATAAAATGTAATGTTTCTTTTCTTATTGTGACTTTTTTATATTTGTTTAATTATTTAGGACAGGAGTATATATATATAGGCTTGAGTGTCAGGGACAGACATCATATGTGACTAAAGGGGCTTGGGAGAGGCTCTAAGACTACAAGGTAAAAGGGCTACTAGTACCAGCCTCGGAAAGGGATCGCAAGGGGGTTTTAAAGGTATAATAAGTAGAAAGGTTGAAAACTCAGAAAACAAAGGGCAGAAATGTACAATTGATATATGAACTATGCTATGCTCCCCAACAACCTCACATTAACACTTAAGTTTCAAAAATCTCCCGCTTTAAAAACTAACTCGAAGTATTTCCGAACAAATATCAAAATAAAAATACCAAAATAAACAAGTTCAGCCTCAACCATGCATTAAAACCGAGAAATTATCAAATACTTGGCATTCACACCCGAGGCCATCTTAGCCAGCCTTCCACATCACCATTAATATGAATCAAGAAAGCAAAACAGTCTACCGCGTCGGTCCTATAGTGTAATGGTTAGCACGTTAGATTCTGAGCCCTAACTCTAGCAGGGAGATCTCTTCTGGAAATGCCGGTTCGATTCCGGCTAGGACCTAACAACGACTCTTTTTGGGTGTTTACATAATTTTAGTTATTTATTTTTGTAATTTTCTGGGCGCGCATGAAGAGGGATGGATGCTCTTTTTTTTTTGGTGCAAAATGGGAACCGAATTGATGGGGTTCTCGCTTAATGTCTTGGGGGTTTGGGGAGAGTCAGGGGCGAAGAAAAATCTGGATGGAGGGAAGGAAGCGTTGCGATCGAGGTAAATATATTTTTAATTTCTTTTTTGGGGGGGGATCCTTTCTGACCTGTTCATTGTGTACTATAAATAAATAATAAAAGTTTAAAGCGCAAATCAAAAGATTCGATAAACCTGCTCATTTCATCACCCCCGTTCCATATTGCTACCACAGCAGCCTAACCTTGACAATTTCCAGCTCTTTTAGCAATAATTCGAGTAGCACACTGATCTGCTTGGCTGCCTAGGTCATATTCCCACTATTAGCGGCTTAATTCACGGTCTGCGACCAGCAACCTGGCTCCAGGTCATGCTCCCGCTCATAGCAGTAGGCTGGTTCCGGCTGCCAGTAGCAGCACCTTGCGCTCCGCTGGCACCAGCAGCTTTCACCTCACTATCCTTCCATAAAGCATCCCAATAGCTCGCCATTCTATCCCTCAGCCACGCATCCTGCTCCCACCTTTGAATATCCTCTTTAGTAGTAGGCAATCCCAATCTCCACAGCTCACCATTCCCTTTCATCCATTCCTCCCAGTCCTTCCCAATAATCAGCTCTCCTGCCCCTATGGTATCAGCACCGCGGTCTCCTTCCCCCGTTTTAATCACCCCAAGTCCTACAATCCGCGGCGGCCTTAGCGCTTCTTGCCCTATTCTCGTAAACTCCTTCTCCCAGAAATCTTCTTGGCAGAGTTGATGAAAAAAAGAGATTTGTACGGGCCAATACCACGCGGTGGGAGGCGGATCGTGAGAAGCAGAGAAGTTCCCATGGGAGCGGTACCGGTAGCTTCTCCCCTGTTTCCATTTGCCTTCCTTAAAATGGTCAAAGAAATTTGGGAAGTTGGTGACGAAGCATGACATGACAGCTTTGGGACGAAGGCCGGTGCGTAGAATGCTCATGTGGCCACCGAGGATCTATCATGGACCGTCGCGTTAGTCATAACAGACTATGCATGAGGAGAAGAGGAAGAAGGGGGTTAGTATACGGCTTTCTCGCAGGACCAACCACATTCAGCAACCTCTTCTTCATTAAAGAACTATAGAGTGTTAGGTGGACCTGGGCTGCATTTTAAATCAACTTACATTTTCGCTGGCTCCTGATTGATTATTCTCCCGAAAATAAAGATTCATAAGTGCGTGCTGTAATTGTCAATGCGTGTTCTCTTTTCCTTGTAAAAGTTTCTTACTGCAACCTCATGAACAAGCTACTATTTGTATCAGCCTAAGCTTAGGTAACGTGGATTATTAGGTTCATTACCACTTTGGCAACTATAGACTGCTGGACGAGTACCTCCGACTCTGTCATATCCCCTGGTGCCAACAAGGGCACGAGGAGGTCTCGTGAAACGCTCACGGTTATTCTCTTATCTACATTCGATGGGTCCTTTTTGACATCCGTTCTTCCGAGAATGCCAGGCTCTAGTGTGCCAACCCTAAGGTCCATCAGAGCGGCGAGAGTTCTAAATCTTGCCTGTTGCCTTCCTTTAGACTGCGCTGCTAATGGAGCGGATCGAGGGAAAAAAGCATAAAGGTTGTCCGGGCCACCATCCTTTTCATTAGCAGGAAGATTGAGCTCCTTTCGAGGCCCGTACATTAGGGCATCCCACCTCTGAAAGTCAGTCTATTTATTCCCTTTCTCAGATTCACATTTCAATATGAAAGTAAGCCTATGAGCATACCAAAGCCACACATGGCTCTCAAACAGCAGCCTCGATGCGATCAGCAAACTCGGCCGTATCGCGGTTAGAACTGGTCCTTTTCTGGCATCCCAAGTCCCGACTAAACCGTCCGGCAACGCATCCCCATCTTTCCACCATCTTTCAGGCGCAAACATAGGATGCATGCCCCTCAATGGCAGACCAAAGCGACCAAGGTTCTCTTTCTCAAGACACCCACTGTGGAGAAGCTCGAAGGCCGTGAATCCCATAAGCTTGCGCCTTTGGTATTGCTCGATGGGCTTATTGAAGACAAAGGTGGGCGTCAAGCCGGACCTGCCTTGATCGCGCAACGAAACACCTTTAGCTCCAATATCGCGCACTGAAGCATCATCAATTATCCCGTAGACTCTCGCGTGTCGAGTTGTTGGAAGGGGAGGCGAGTTGGTTGCCATGATGGACATAAAACGATCAGAAACAGGATTCGTACTTGGACGAGAAGTTACACCAGTGCAACTCTTGTTCTTTGAGATGATAGTAAGGCAACATCGAGAAAGAATGAAAGAACCTGTACAAAGAACTATCAATATCAGAAAACTAACTCGGTATTTTTCGTCATCGGATAAAGAAAACCCGAGTCTACATTGGCTTGCGGCCTCGGTGAACATTTGTATTTAATTGTGCAAGCGAAGGCTTAAGATAGCTATGCACGGCGCAAAGTCAACAACGAAGATCGATTTGCGAATGTACGGAACATAAAGAAGTGTAAACCTTAAATGATCACGAAGGCCATCAGGAAGATAAATTAGAGCAAGTTGTATTTCAAAGCCATCCAGGCTAGAAGCAGACAGTTACAACGTCTGCATACCTGGTGCCACAATGATTAACAGATAATCACTTTGCCTTGCTACAACGAAGAGAGTATAATAAAAATTTTAATAGCTCAAGCCTTTTCTATAGAATGAGTCCTGGAGTGCAAATCCACTCTGCAAACTCCGGCTGCAATGTTGAGCGTTCTCTCCTATACCCTCTAATATTTGCATCAGGTTCTTCATAATATTGTGACCCAATCCTTCCTTGAACCTTGATGGCAGCTGTTGTGGCTAGTAACCTTGAACTTGCTCTGGTATCGGTCAGGATGTGCTTGAAGGTGGACCACCATGGAACTGGTTTTTGTCCGTGTGTGTTTTTTGTTTACGCAAGTTCACGATAGCTTCAATCTTCAGGCAAAACAGTATCTGCTTCGAGGCCTAATTCTTCACCAACTCTTCTCACCACTCCTTTCAAAGCTGTGCAAGCAGGGCTATCTGGCCAGGAATCGAAGAAGCTCTCCCCATAGTCACTTGCCATGCCTATTCGAGGATCTAGCGGTACCGCACCAAGAAATGGAATGTTCATCTCTTTCGCCAGAGCCCTCCCACCGCCGGTTGTGGCTTGAAATATTTGACTTTCGTGGGTACACTTCGGGCATACGAAGCCAGACATGTTTTCAACAAGGCCCAAAACCTTGATCCCCGCTTTCCTACAGAAATCGATCTCTTTCCGCACATCAAGAAGCGCAACTTCTTGAGGAGTCGTCAACATGACGGCACCGTCGATTCCACTCTCTTTTAGAAATGAGTTGACACTTAGATGTTCGTCGCTAGTCCCAGGGGGCGTGTCGACAAGTAAAAAGTCCATCTCTCCCCATTCAACATCCCTCAGAAATTGTTTTATCATTCCGTTCTTCTTCGGGCCTCTCCAGATTATAGCGTCATCTTTGTTTGGCAGCATGAACTGTATGCTCATAACGGATAAGTTGTCTGCCACCCAAACTGGAGTCCATCCACCACTATATGTATGTACCTTCTCGTTCTCCACGCCCATCATCTTGGGTATACTCGGTCCAGTGATGTCGGTATCCATGATTCCTACCATACTATCAGGATTTTGAGCAAAGGCATGCGCCAGTAAAGAGGTGAAAGTGCTCTTTCCCACGCCACCTTTCCCTGACAAAATCAGAACCTTGTGTTTAATTCCAGCCAAGCGTGCGGTTATGACAGGTATATCGGGGTCTGGCCCCTTTGGTGCAGAGGCACATATTGCTTGATTTGGACATCCTGCGCAGGAATCTGCTTTTCCTGCGGCTTCAGATTCTGGACCTGGACAGTGTTCCGGCTCGGGAGCAACGAGTTTAGGTGCAACTTTGAGGGGATTCGAGAGAACGTCTTGGACTGATTCGGGGCCAGCTTCAAGAGAAGGGGCCATGATACTGATATCCGGAAGGGTGTAGTTTTGAAGAGGGCCTGATTACCCTGGGGTTGGAAAGGGGGGGGGGATAATAGGGTAGCAAGTTTGCTTTACCAAGCAGACTGGTAGATTTCCAAGCATTGAATTTTGAACAGTAAAAGCGGCGGTTGGACGGCACAAAGTGCATGGTGGGGGTTACGCCGGATCAGGCAGGCGGTGAGACTTTGTGAGGTCCGATGACGGGATTGCGCAGAGGCAAGCCCAGTAACGGAATTCACAGAGCCGAGCCACTGTCCAAAATTCCCTCTTCAAACCCTCAATACCCGCTTTCCGTCGGTGTAGCCCATGCACATCAAAATAATAATTGTGTACAAAGTACGGTCAGTACTTCGTATTGCAGACAGCATTTGTACTAACTGCTACACGCTAATTTGAATAGCCTCACTCTGCGATTGTACTAATAACGGTCATTACAATTCCTTCAACTCTATCCCAAGGTTGGTCGTAGCCACAAAATCAGTCTTTCCAATGATGATACAACCTGTTACCAATACTTAATATATATCCCACATCACGTCACATCTTTCTAGGACCAACTTTCTCATCGCTGCAATCGAACCCAGCCAGCTCAGTCCGTGAAGGCACAACATATGCAATTCGCCCAGTGCGAAAACATGTGCAAATAGTCTTATTGGCCTGTCAAGCCTATTGACAATCCTTGGAATATCCACAATCCCATCTTAGCGGCATTTCCTCAAATACGTTTGCGAATTGCTTCCCCACGCACAGAAACACAAAGGCAACGCACTCAAAATTCCCTGCCAGTTGGAGGGAACACATGGCTGCTGCAAATTTCTCACTATACATACGTCTTTGCTTCCCTGATTCATAGCCACCATCTGGAGCATCTCGCAGAGAGAACAAAACAATTAGGA